ATTTTATTTTATTTTGAAAAGTTAAAACAAAAGCAAGAACAAAAATCAGAAACAGGACAACATACAATTCATATGTTACAGATTTTCAAAACAGGAATAGCTGAATAACAGGGGGCCAGGGAGATGGCTCAGAAGAATAAGCACGTCCCTGGCAAACACAAGGGCCTGAGTTCAATCCCTGGTTCCGCCAAAAAAAAATTTAAAAAATAGCTGATTAACAGTGGTTGATATATTATCTATTTTTATCATCAAATCTGTTGCTCAGATTAACAGACATAGTTATGCAAAATTGGACATATTGCCTGTAATCCCAGCACTTGGGAGGCTGAGGGAGGAGGATCATTGTGAGTTTGAGACCAGCCTGAGCTACAAAGTGAGTTCAAAGCCAGTCTGAACTATATAGCAAGACTTTATCTCAAAAGGACAAAAAAAAGATTGGACATACGATTATTACTACCACTTGCTTTCAGGAAACCTTAAATTTTTGTTCCTGTCTTTTTTCTTTTTTTAACCTTTTTTAAAAAAATTATTTTAAAGAAAGTATAGTAATAATTGATATGACATTAAAAACTGTACACATTTAGAAGACCAAGATGACAGGTATTTCAAGCATGGTTTTTGTATTACACATTGCTGTCCTTGACGTAGTTGCTTAGATCACAGATATCATTATACGGACTTAGTCAAGGTGAAAATTCTACACATTAACTGAATAGCTGGGGGCCGGGAGATGGCTCAGTGGAATGAGCGCTTCCCTGGCAAATGCAAGGGCCTGAGTTCAATCAATCCCCAGTTCCACCAAAAAAATAAATAAATAAATAAAAATAAAAAAAAACCCAACTGAATAGCTGACTTTAAAACATACTATAGGGGCCGAGGAGATGGCTCAGTGGAATAAGCACTTCCCTGGCAAGTGCAAGGGCCTGAGTTCAATGCCCGGTTCCACCAAAAAAAAAATAAAAATAAAACATACTATAGGGCCTGGGGATATAGCTCAGTGGCACAAGCAACTGCCTGGCAAGTACAACGTCCTGGGTTCAATCCCTGGTACCACCAAAAAAAAAAAAAAAAAACAAAAAACATATTATAGGGGGCCAGGGAGATGGCTCAGTAGAATAAGCAAGCACGAGGGCCTGAGTTCAATCCCCGGTTCCGCCCAAAAAAGAGAAAGAGAGAAAACATACTATAAAACTATACTATCGCAAAATAGTATGGTACTGGGCTGGAGAGATGGCTCAGTGGTCTAAAGCACCTGCTTGAAACAAGCTTGGCAAAACACAGGGACCGCGGTTCGATCCCCCAGCACCACATGCCAGCCGGCCCCGCCCCCTGGTGGGCTGAGCTGGCCACACACACACACACAATAAATAAATGTAATAAAAATAAATAAATAATTAAAAAAAATAGTATGGTACTGACATGAAAATAGACAGGACCAGGGGAACAGTGATGCTCCTGCCTCAGCCTCCCCAGGGTTTGGATTATAGGTGTGTGTAATCACACCTGGCCCTATTTTTCATTTTGAGACAGGGTCCCACTAAATTACTAAATTGTCCAGGCTGGGCTTGTACTTGCCATCCTCCTGCCTCAGCCTCCCAGGGCTGGGATTACAGGCCCGTGTCACTATGGATCTCTAGAAAAAACACTCAGCGACTTTGGAGCTTTCCCTGCATGCACTGCTGGCCCAGCACCCTTGGGACAGGTACCACTGGGAGACCAGTGGCCGGAAAAGGGTTGGTCCAGAGGTCGGAGGGGCTCTGGGTGTGATGTCCAAGGTGCAAAGGCTGCTGGTGCCCACACCAAAGCACAGCTGGAAGCTGGGGCCCCAGCGCCCTGCAGGGGTGTGGAAGGAAAGGGGGGAGCGGGTCAGGGAGGGAAACTGAGGCAGGGGGCGCGGCGGGCTGGCAGGGTCTCAGCAGCAGCCTGCAGCGCTGCGCTTCACGTGGCATGGCTTGCAGAAGAGGTGGTCGTTCAGCGGGTAGCAGCCCTGGTCTGTGGGCTCTATAGACAGGGGGACACTGCAGTCTTGTGGGGACAAAAGCATGTGTGGATGCCGACTGATTTTTTTTTTTTTTTTTTTTTTTTTTGAGACAGGGTCTCACTACGCAGTTCAGGTTGGCTGTTAGCTCACTTTGTAGCCCAGGCTGGTCTGGAACTCCCAACAATCCTCCTTCCTCAGCCTCCCAAGTGCTGGGATTACAGATGTGTGCCACCACATCTGGCCCCCAATAAAGACTGTGAGAACATACAGTGGAGAAAGGAAAGCCTTGTCAATGAATGCTTATAGGAATACTGCACATGCAGAGGGATGCAACTACATCCCGATGTTTCACCATATTAAAAAAAAAAAAAATCCACTATAATCCCAGCTCTTAGGAAGCTGCGGCAAGAGGATCACCATGAATTCAAGGTCATCCTGGCATACATGAGTTCAAGGCTAGCCTGATCTGCATAATGTGACCCTATCTCACAAAAAAAGAAAAAAGAAATTAAATCATCCTTCAACCCAACAATCCCACAAATACTGTTGTGTATTTATGTACCCAAAGGAATTGAAATCAGTATGCGGAAGAGGCACGTGCCTATTCATGCAATAGTCATGGGCCTTCCACAGCAGCCACATTAGGGAGGCACCTGCAGGGCCACTGGGAGACATGTGACGTAGACTCAAAATGCAGTGTTATTGTAAAGAAGAATGAAATCATGCGATCCCAGCACGCAGGAGGCTGAGGCAGGAAGGTTGCCACAAGTTCAGGGCCAGCCTGGGATACATAGTGTCTTAGTTACTTTTCTCATTGCTGAGACAAAATATGCAACATCCACAAGTTAAAGCTTGAAGGGCTGGCCAAACAGCTCAGTGGATGAAAGTGCCTGCAAGCAGGCGCGGGGGGCCTGGCACCATCCTGAGCCTGCCATGCCGGCCCCGCCCACAGGTCATGCTGAGATGGTGACTGAGACTGGGAGTGGCAACACACGCCTGCAATCCCAGCACTTGGGAGGCTGTAAACAAGAGGACCACTACGAGTCCGATCCACACAGTGAGAC